ATTGAAGATTCTAGCTTATGAATTTCGATTTAAGTAAACATTTAAACACCGTATTACTTTCGTTAAATGTAACCATTTACAAGTACCATATAGAAAATGAACAGTAGAAGTTTACTGTAGTCGTAATAGTCTCTTGTTAGAGCTTCAGGTTAACACGTCATTTCCATTTCATTTTGAATTATTTTTTTTTTAACTAGCTGAAAATAATAAAAATGTGTTACTAATTTGGAAATGGGAATTTTTGGTGTTGTTTCATTTTTGAGTTTTTCTTTTTTACAGACTTTTGACAGAACGGACATTTTTTTTATTAGGCAAAGGTAAGCAAAACAATAAGCATTATAAATGCTGGTACAAAAAAACTCAAAACTTGTTCGATCAAAAGTCCACAACAATTTTGTTTGCAAATCGCAACACACAAGATTTTAACTGTAATATTATTCTCTATTCATTCGTTCTTCGGTTTTACATTGTTTCAATTATGCCAATGTGGTGCTGTCAATGTCATATATATAAAGTCACAATTGTGTCAGTGTGTTAGTTGTTTTGTTGTCACGACCAGATTCAACAGAGCATAAACGTGTTTGACATTTGTTTATTTTGAGAGTTGGATTCACGGACGAGCACACCGCTTGTTGTTATCTCGTCGTCGATTGAAATATTTTATTGTGTGTTTAAAAAAATTGTATTAAAACTGCGGATGAATAAGTACAGTTTTTGATTAATTGTGGTGGTTGAAAAATTGTTTTGAGTTTTAACTAAAGTGTAAAATAAAAACAAAATGCAACGTAAGTGTTTGAGCAAAATACGCGAATTTTTTATGTAAAAACAGAATTATAAAAAACAGCTATGTAATTTTGAAAAAAAAATTGTATCAAGCACATTAATTGAACTGTTGTAAAAGAATTGCATCTTGTTCTATGTCAATTGTTCATGTAATTCATGTATTGATTGTATTGTATGTGTTGTTGAATGCGGCACGATAAGACGAAGCGCAAACCTACATTGCTTGAGGAATACGCGCGAAACATGAAAAAAATCATTCAGTATTTTTTTTTCGTGTCATATTCATTTGTATTACTTTCGACTTGGCTATTTTTGCTGGCAATATTTCGAGTGAAATCGGTGTCTTATTACAATTCATTGGTTTTTTATGACCATTTTTTCTAAATTACCATTACATCCATTTTTTTACCACTTTTAATAATAATATCTGGAAATAAGTTAATTTGTGTGCATGGGAAGTGTTGCACACGAATGAGAGGAATGGCAGATGGAGAAAAAAGAAGAACACATGGTGAAACATAGAGAAAGAAACAACAACAATAATTAAAGAAACGAAAGATAGAGCATTTTGTGACGAATAAAATTCTTAGAAATCGTAATAAATTTTAAAGTTTTTGTTTACATTCTTCGCAAAGGACAGACATATGAACACATACATATTTCAAGTTTGTTGTTGTTTTAGGTTCTTACTTTTTATCAACATGTTTATGAGTCTATATTACAGTGTATATTGATAAAAAAACATTTCTCAGACTTTCTATGCCCAATTCTCTCACCGATAAGTGTTCAAAGGAGATGTGGAAGTTTTTTCGATAAATGATTTTCAGACAATATATTTGAATTTTGTCATCTGGATATTTCTGCTCATCAGTGATTGTTATAGTTATGGTAGTATTTTTATACCTATAACAATCACTTCTATTTATACAATGATTTTTGGATAGGATTGATTCGTAAGATCTCCGCAAGATCCGGATCCAAATGTGCGTACGTAGCCGCATAATACATACATTCGTTATTACTTTTCCGCACACACCTAGTGTGTAAGGTAAAGTATTGGAATCGGTCGAAAAATTAACACCCTCAAAAAACATGTTTTCTGGGTGTTTTAGGAGCCAGGGAACACGAATCTAGCGTTTTTTCGATGTCCGAATGTATGTGCGTGGTACCCTGTACGCTGTACGCTGTACGCTGTACGCTGTACGCTGTACGCTGTACGCTGTACCCTGTACGCAAAAATTTGTTAACACGATAACTTTCAAACAAGAAAAGTAATTCAAAATCTGACTTCACAGGATGATTGGGGGTGCCGAGGAATAGAAACCATTAGATTTTGAGCGACTTTGGTTGACAGGGTAAAGTGTCATGTCTGGTGTGATGCCCATGTCCATCCATGGGAAAAATTCAATTTTTCTTCCAAAAGTGATATTTAATGTATTCTTAAACACTCAAAAATGTGTATTGGGGGGTTTTTGGGTACGAGAAAACCGAATATGACGTTAATTTTGCGATACAATCAATTTTCGAAACACTTTTCATACAAAAAATTCAAAAAATTTGGATTTTTGTATGGAAGCCATGCCTGTATGATATCGTAATGAGCTGAAACTTTGCACAGGTTATTTTTATCACACATAAATACTATTCCGAGAGTTTGAAGACATTTCAACGAATATTAGGGGCACCTCCCGAACAATATTTTGGATTTTTCGCTCTAAAACGAAATTTTGTATGGGAAGTACCCTTAATATGCATTGAAATTTCTTCAAACTTTCAGAATGTTAACTTTTTGTGAAAAAAATAACCTCTGCAAATTTTCACATGATTACGATATCATATAGGCATGGCTCCGATACAAAAATTCCCATCTTTAGTAGTTTTTGTAAGAAAAGTGCTTCGAAAATTATTTTTATCTAAAACTAATGTCAGATTTAGTTTTCTCGTGAATTATTTGAGTAAAAGATTTGTAATAAATGCATGTCGTGGATCACAGTGCGGAAAAGTTCATCTTACGGATGTAAGACATTTTATTTTTTTTGGTCCGAATGGAGTACCCACAATCCATACATTTTACTTTTTTGATCATTTTTCAACCATTTTGGTGACACGATGGTTTCGTGCTCAGACATGAAATTCAAAATCTGACTACGGGATGATTGGGCATTACGAGGAATAGATCTGGTCAAATTTTCAACGACATTGATTGATCGGTGTGACTCTGAAGAGGCGCTTATGAGAAAAATGTCTTAAAATGATATTCTTTCAATTTGAACGCTGAAATAATGTGTAATGGGGGGTTTGATGGCACGAGAAACCCGAATCTTATGTTAGTTTTAAGATGCAATCAATTTTTCACAGACTTTTCATACAAAAATCCACAAAAAAATTCATTTTTGTATGAAAGACTTGCCTTTGTGGTATCGTAATGATATGAAACTTTGGATGAAACTCACAAGTTTTCACGGTAATTTAAGTTACTGCAACCATACATAGACTATAATTTCAGTTTATTCCCAAAATTTCGGTTCCATGCGGAAAAGTCAGCTTGCGTACGTAAGCCTCTTTATTTTTTAATGGAATGAGCTAGGATTAAAACCTGACATTAAATAAAAATCAATAATAAAATAGAACATATGCAAAAGAATGCTATCTTCCACTTTTTTGGCTTCTTATTTCAATTCAGGTTTTTATTCTAACCCAATCATTTGTATTTTCCTACGTCAATCAATTGTGGATCTGTTTCGAAAATTCTAATTCAAAACAATATTTACGAGAAAGATGGAGTTTTCCATACACCTGAATAACACTTACAACATTCCATAAAGCAACCTTTCAAAAAGTCTGTTTTTCGTAAAAAAATTAAACCAAACGTTTCAATAAAAACAAGATAAACACAATTGTTATTCAGCTCTCAACCGAAACGTGTTGTTTTCTTACATATTATTATCAATTTGCAAACGTTTTATTCAAAATGAAAATACATTTTTTGGTTATTGCTTTGTTGGTGGCATCTTGTTGCGAGGCTAATGTAATACATTTTATATAAATTCTTCTGTGATATAAATCATTATTTCGTTTGCATACACTTTCAGATCATCGGCAATACTTTCAGAAGAGTCACCGACACAGTAAAGGTTGCATTATTTGGACGAAAATCAGTACAGAATCCAAACCAGAATATGGCCCACGGCAATTACAGCTCTGGCTTTGCTAGCAACCAGAATCAAATGCTGAACCCAAATGGTATACCTGCAAGTATCCCCAACGTTGCTTGAACTTCAACGGCGAACACGGTCACTACATATCAAACATTTTTGATTTGTACAGTTGAAATGAACGGCTGTTTTCATCAATGACAAAAATAAAAAAAAAGAAGAAAAGTGTTTTTTCAAATATGTTGTTTTATTTTTGTGAATAGTAAACTTATATGTTTTCTATGGCATGGTTTATATTATCCTTTGGCATAATTGACATACATGCGAACAAGCTTAAGAAATTCAAAGCTCATCTTCTGTAATGTAATCTTTATTTTTGAATATTCGTTTTTTTATACAATATATAAGGTAAAGTGGGGTAAAGTGATAAGTGGGGTAAAGTGATAAATC